TTTTTTTTTTTTTTTCTTTTCTAAATGGAAAAAAAAAATATCCCTAGTCAGAAATAAACTGACAAATTTACATTCTCCTCTCTTAAAAAAGTAAATAAAATAACATTATTCAAAATGTGAATTAGCTATAAGACATACACTTACATAGATACATATCGATACAGCACATTCAATCTGCCAAAAAAAAATTAACGATTACAAAGCCCGTATGGATGCGGCAACAGCAAGAGGTGTATGTACAATGACTAGAGCGTTCAGAATTGCACTAGACCTACAGGCAGTCTGGTTCTCAATTAAATTGGAGCTGCTTTCCGAGCAAAGTGAAAAAGTAACTTGTGGTGTTTGTGGCCGGGAAAGGAAGGAGAACATCCCACTACTGCTTAGTAACCCTGGTTCTCCTCTAGTAAGCCATTCATTTTCTCTTGCCTTCATTGTTCCCCAAGAGTTGACGGATAGGGAAGTTTGGACTTGTGCCAGATAGTACGATACTTAAAATAAGACCAGTGTCGCGGCCTAATTCTTATTCTCCAGCAGGTTTAAAATAATCTTTATTTCCTTAAATCGTATGTCAACTCAAGCTGCTGGACCGAAGTTCATCAATACAGGTGCTGTTTTGATTTTTGGGTTTTTCTTTTTTTGCATTTGTTGAAAAATTGCACATTGAGAACTCCCATGATCTCTCCTAAGAGGTTTAGTTACACAAATGCATGTTCTATAAAACACCGAGGGGTTAACTCTTAAGGAAGTCTTGTGGACCTAACTCAAATTCAACTTAATCGGTCACCGGTTTAAAAAGCTCACAAAGTTGGTAAACCAGCAGTAACATCGGATTTTGCAAATTAAAGGTGCTGGAATACTTGAATAACGTCCTTGGCAGACCTACTTGACCTTAAAGAAAACACGAAGGGTAAGACCGGCTTTAAAGGAAGAGACAGAAGCAGATTTCATGTTCTATCACAGAAGACACTATTTTACATTGCTGATTTGGACACTCAACACGAAACGCACACTAAATGTGATCTCGAGGGCAGAGAAAAGAATGGAACATGCCAGTCAAATTGGCAGTTACCTATTCTTGGGCAACTGGTGTTTCAGGTGGATTCTCAGCCAATTATTTAGGCCTCACACTCTTACTCTCTTCCATTTGTGAGATACTGGCTTTTACCTCTGAAATTTTTACTACTTTACTTTTACAAAAAAGCCAGCTTTGGCAACACATACCCATAATAAATTATGGCCCAAACACTAAGGGGGGAAAAAAAGGAGGAAAATTTGAACCAAGGTGGGGAAAAATGAACAACCTAAGAAACAGGTTCTGGATAGCAGCCATTGGGGTAATGTAGTGTCTGTTGGGCATATACATATATATAGAAAATGGTTTTGTTTTTTTTTTTTTTTTTGGCATCTGCAATTTAAAGAGAGGGTAAAAAAAAAAAGTAAGGGTGGAAGGACCATGGCACATGGCATTAAAAAAAAAAAACAAAACTGTGGTCTCTGTTCTTGCCTTACTGTCTGTGCATATTTCTCTCAGCAACCAAGCTATGGCTGAAGGTAGGAATCCAAAAGAAACGACCCTTCACTGTAAGCCGGGCATCCACCCTCCTAGCCCAAAGTGAGGCAAGATCATGTACTGATATAAAAACAACTCTATATGTGTATCCAGAGCAATACATTGAAAACCACAGTATTAATACTTAGAATTCTTCAGCAACACTACAAACCGTTTAACTTAAGCTGATGCCGATGGCTTAAATCAAATGGCGCTGTCCTGTCGTTGGAGAGAAAAACTTGACCAAGAATGGAACTAGGATAAAGGCCGTTGTGACCCAGGGAAAATCAGGATGAGGGCAGGGGGTGAGGAAAAGGGCAATCAGCTTTGTTTTCCTCAATAGAAAAGAAAAAGAGAAAGAAACCACTCTTATCTTGGTGAGTGCATGACTGAGAATTGAAAATACATTGAGTCACAAGGTTTTTGCCTAAAAAAAAAGACAGCGAGGAAATGTGCTGGGACCGTACTTCAGCATCCTGTTTTTCCTCTGAATAGTTTAAATAAAATCATAATATTTACTACAAACCCTGTGGACACATTCACACAGAGTCCGGGACGGCAATAAATTAGTATTATGCAAATGGTTTTCCACAGAAATCCAGTCCCTCTTGTACAGCTTCAACAGCCCACCGGGGAAGGGACGGGCGGTACTGAGGAGGCACAATTAGACCAGATTGTACTCCTTCAGGTTCAACTGGAGGATGGTGTCCTTGACGGCGGCAAAGACAAAGCGGATGTTCTCGGTATCTGTGGCGCATGTGAAGTGGGAGTAGATAATTTTGTCACTGTCAGGGTTCAGGTCCACGAACATCTTCAGGATGAATTCTCGAGCTGCCTGGGCATCTCTCTGGGGTCCTGTTGGTCAAGGGAAGAAAGGGACGATTTGTCAGTGGATCTGTGTGTGCCTATAAGCAGGAAGTGTTCACTGGGTCGGTAACAATGCCATGGAGAGGACGCTTGCACTGCAGATTTGATCCGTTATAACCATCTTCCCCAACTCGAGTATGTGCAACTGTTCCTCTTTGGCATGTTATCTGACCATCCATTCGTCTGCCTGTCCGTCCGTCCACCCACCCACCCACCCACAAGGTGTGGTTAGGCGAAAAGAGGCATATGGATAGAGCTGCCTTAGGCTCTCCTGTCAATCTGCCTCCCAGGGGCCCCTCGCCCCTGCTGTGGATCTTTTTACATTCTCCAGACTGAAATCTGTTTCAGAATAGTTCCTGGGGCACCTGGGTGGCTCAGCTGGTTGAGCAGCGGACTCTTGGTTTCAGGTCATGAGCTCCAAGCTGACCGTGGGGGGCCTACTTGGGATTCTCTCTCTGCCCCATCCCTGTTCATGCTCACTAGCTCGCTCGCTCTCTCAAAATAAATGTGAAAAAAAAAATCTTCTGTCAGGTCCACCTTCGATTGTGCTCTGCTACCTAGCTTCTGGATTGCTGGTGTTTCTGGGCACACTACATTTACGTAGTATTCAATTCACTATGTGTGATAAGAGAAAGACTGGTGTATGTTTCCTTAGCTTTATTTGGGGTGTCTTCCAGGCTGAACACTCTTCTAGATGCCTTAAAACAGGACTGCAATGTATTTACCAGGGTATAGTAAAAGTTTAGCTTAAAATTTTGCAAAGAGGGGTGCCTGCGTGGCTTAGTCGGTTAAGCGTTCGATTTTGGCTCAGGTCATGATCTCGTGGTTTGTGAGTTCGAGCCCCACGTCAGGCTCTGTGCTGTTAGCTTGGAACCGGGGGCCCGCTTCATATTCTGTGTGTGTGTCTCTCTCTGACCCTTCCCTGCTCGTTCTCTCTCAAAAATAAACATTAAAGTCTTTAACTTTTTTAAGTTTATTCATTTATTTTGAGAGAGACAGACCCAGTGAGAATGGGGGAAGGAGAGAGAGAGAATCCCAAGCAGGCTCCACACTGGCAGCGCAGAGCCTGATGCGGGGCTCGAACCCACGAAACCGTGAGACCATGACCGGAGCAGAAACCAAGAGTCGGTCTGCTCAACCGACTGAGCCACTCAGGAGCCCCAAATATTAAAATCTTAAAAAAAAAAAATAAATAAAATTTTGCAATGCATTCTTAGATAGGGTGCCAACATCACAGGCAACAAAAGAAAAATTGGACCTCATCAAAATTTAAAAGTTTTGGGCATCCAAGGACACCATCAAGACAGGGAAGAGATCACCTACAGAATGGGTGAAAATACTGGCCAAACACATAGCTCATAAGAGGTTAACTTCCAGAAAATAGAACTCCTATAACTCAGCAACAAAGACAATCTGAATAAAAAATGGGCAAAAGAGCCTGAATAGACATTTCTCCAAAGATATATAGCTGGCCAATGAGCACAGACAGGCTCAACATTCTTAATCATCGGGGAAACGCAAATCAAAACCACTGTGAGCTGTTATTTCACATCTGCCAGAATGGCTATAATAAAAAGAAAAAAAAAGGATACAGTATGGGCAAGGGTGTTGAAAAATCTGAACGCTTGTGCATTGTTGGTGGGAACGTACAATGGTGTAGCTGCTGTGGAAAACAGGTGGGTAGTTCCTCCCAAGGCTAAACATAGATTACCAAATGGCCGGCAATTGTATTCCTAGGTATATATATCCAAAGGAATCAAAAGCAAGGACTCTGGGGCGCCTGGGTGGCTCAGTCGGTTGGGCCTCCGACTCTTGATTTTGGCTTAGGTCGTGATCTCACAGTTTGGGAGATCGAGCCCCTAGTGTCACTGTGCTACAGTGCATAGAGCCTGCCTCAGCTTCTCTTTCCCTGCCCCTCCCCTGCTTGTGCTCTCTAAATAAACTTAAAAAAAAGGGGGGGGGGATTCTACTAGTTACTTAAACAATGAATTTCACTGTCGTATTATTCATAAGAACCAAAAGGTGGAAAGGACCCAAGTGTCCATCAACAGAGGAACAGAAAGGAACGGATAAACCAGAGGTAGGAGACACACAAGGGGCTGTTACTCATCCATGGACAAGTTATGATGGCTGCCACAACACCCATGAACCTTGAAAACATGATGTTAAGTAAAATAAGCCAGACCAAAGAACACATCTTGTATGACTGCACCTATAGGAGGTACCCAGAATAGGCAAATTTATAGAGACAAAGTAGATTAGAGGTTGGCTGGGGTGAGGGGGAAGTGAGTTAGTGCTTCAGGGTCACAGAATTTCTGTTTGGGGTGAGGAAAAAGTTTTGGGAATAGTGACGGTGCACAGCATCGTGAACGTAATTGGCACTCAACTACATGCTTTAAGATGATGAAGATGACACATTTTAATGTGTAAGGTATGGTAAAATGTACTTCAAAAAGCCCTGAATTGTAGCTTTAAATGGGGAAATTACACGGTATGTGAATTATAGGTCAGTAAAGCGGTTTTAAAAACTTAATAGATCCTGACAAATGTATTAATTTAAAATTTATTAACTAGGTGTGGTGTCTTAACGTTACTATCGAGTATCCATCCTAGTCTTTGAGGCCCATATATGTACATTTCCCCCGTCTTTTCCATCCTAAGGAAGAAGGAGGTCCTGCCATAGCCTTCTCCTCCTCCACTTCCTTCTGACAGGACCATCTCAAGATCCACAGCCTCCATTTTTTTCTGTCAAGATTCTTGTTATCTACCGGTTGGGATAAAGAAATCTTGGAACACTATACTGAGGGCCTGACTACTGCTTCCAACCAAATGCATCGTGAATTTTAGACGGCCAACTTGAAGACTTTTCAAAATGGCCTGATTGCAAATTGGGGATTACCCCTATGAGTTTATATCTAACCCTGCCAGAAGGAGGAGAGAAAGAGCCATGAAGACAAATGGGTTATTCCCACTTGAACCATGACCACAAAAGTAATGTTTGCATTTTTGACTTCAGTGACCAGAAGTGAAATTTTTGTCAGCAATTAAGAAGGCTGGCATCATAATGAAAGTGCCATAATACTAGGATTATAATGTCCTGTTTTTCTCAATGTACTATTAAGTTATTAATTCCATAGCAGTAATAGAAAATATTTAGAACTAGGACTAATAGACTGTTGGGGTTGGAGAAGCTTCCCATATAAAGGAACCCCAGCTTTCTGGTTTGTGAAGGAAGTTCCCTTTGGTTTTGTATATCTATCCTATTTGAGAAAAAAGGGGCTATTTTTTTTAAGCCCTCAGAACTAGACTCAAGTTCAGTGACGATCACTTGCAGTGTGTTAAGTTTTTAAGCATAAATTAAATTATTTGAATAAACACAAACTACAAAGAAATCCTTACAGACATCCTAGCACGCAGAGTACCAGAGTCTCTCTGAACAATTCTGCAATTCATGTCCATGTGGAAACGGTAATTTCTCTTTCTGAAGAGAAATATAGAAATGGCACTCATTATGATTAAGACCTTGGAAGTGCAGAAATGTGGAAGTGTGAAGTTCATAATACTATAAACATGTTTGTTATAAAAACAGTACTGCAGAGTAGGCCTAGAATTTTTTTCAGTTGTAGCTCATCTTACAAGGGCTTTGTATGCAATGACAGCTGTGTTTGCTTTGTGAATAAGTGTCTTTTTTTCTTTTCTTTTCTTTTTCCATGGCTAAGTCGCCTGTGTGCCTTACGTGCACGTTGGGGGAGGTTAACAGTAAAAACCATGTTCACGGTTTAAAACCTTCGCAAGGCGGGCATGTGGGAAGGAAAATGCTTACAGTGATGGGGGAACCCAGGGAAATTTACTGGATGGAGGGGATAGGTAAAGAGAGGAGGATGATGTGGCAAAGAGGAAAAAAAAATTATCCCAAACAGCTGTTGCAGAAAAAAAAGTCTTGTGCTGCAGAAAAATCAAACCCACATGTGGCATGCTGTGGGCGCTGTGCTGAGCACTTAAGCGTTGGTGGCTTTGCTCCGTGGGGTAGGCTGTGCTGTGTTTATCCCCTGCCGTCCTGTATGCAAGCACATCAGGTTTGCAGGTGGCCATGTATGAGGTGGGGTGTCATTTCTTACCTGCTGATTCTCATTGGATTACGAGAAAAATTAAGAGAGTCTCTTCTAGGGACGTCAGGCAAACGTGTGTTAAAGTGTAACCAGATGCTTCGTGCCCATCTGATTCAGGTAGACCTAGTGGTTAAAGACTAGTCTGTTGTTGTTGGAGACCAGGTTAGCTACGTGTTAAGTTTCCTTCCTTTCTTCTTTTTTAAATGTTGGTTTATTTTCGAGAGAGACAGACAGACGGAGACACAGAATCTGAAGCAGGCTGTCAGGCACAAAACCTGATGCGGGGCTCAAACTCACGAATGGTGAGATCGTGACCTGAGCCACCCAGGCAGCTCAAGTTTCCTTCCTTCTATAGTTTCCTCAGGAACAGTGAGGGATAGATAGGGTTGATGAAATTTTAACAGTGCCAACTAGTGGCAAATGAAAAGGAGTAAAAATGAAAACACTGTTAAAGGCTAGCAAAGTATGTTTTTTTTTAAATTTTTTTTTTTCAACGTTTATTTATTTTTGGGACAGAGAGAGACAGAGCATGAACGGGGGAGGGGCAGAGACAGAGGGAGACACAGAATCGGAAACAGGCTCCAGGCTCTGAGCCATCAGCCCAGAGCCTGACGCGGGGCTCGAACTCACGGACCGCGAGATCATGACCTGGCTGAAGTCGGACGCTTAACCGACTGCGCCACCCAGGCGCCCCTAGCAAAGTATGTTTTTAAAGGCACAATAAAGCACAGTAAAGTACTTGGATAGGGGACAGGAACACACTGCTAACAAACTAGACAGAGGACTGTATCTAATACCTGGTAACTTCCCCAAAGTTTCTACTTCAATGCACCAACCTTTAGAATCTTACACACATTTGAGAAGGGAAATTCAGTTCAC